AGTAGCCTTTAGAGATTTATCTGGCAAAGGTTTATCAGAGAACATGTTAGCAAATACGGAGAAACTCGTGAAGAAAAATACTCTCTAAAAAAAGAGACAAACTTCAAGAAATTAAAAATAACGGTTCTTAGACTTGCTTATAAAACTTTCAAACACGTATAGAAAGGGTTGCAAAACTTAATCATAAACTTAAATTATCATCATCATTTTATTAATATTTTCCTAATGATAATTCAGTAAATCCTCTGTATCACTTTCCATTATCATGTATCAGAATCTCTCAGCATCATCTTCCATCAGTGGTGAAATGGATAAAATCACTAAATACCAATAGTTGGTCGCAGATCCGCTCCTCACCAATAGATTGACCACGTGAAGTTTCCTCGTTTTCTTCGCGTAACATCAAAATAGTGGCAAGTTTCCCATAGAATGTCCTCACGGGAGGTACCCTTCCTTTGGTAGATTGCCTATGTCTTGTCTTGCCTTACTCTATCAACCCTTAATCCATCATGTCAAATCATAATGGTTACGACGATGATGATAATGGCATATGAGTAGAACAGGTGAAAACGAGTAAGAGGATGAAGAATGCGAACTTGGAAATTTTAGTTAGTACAATACGAAGAATAAAGCGAAAGATTAAAGTACTGAAACAATTAAAGTATTCAATTAAAGAAAACAATTAAGGAAGTTTATTAAATTAAGAATTGAATTTAAATATTAATTTAAGTTTAAAATTAGAATAAGCTTATGAAAGACGAACTTTAATGCAACAATTTCAGTATCTCAGGATCCTTTGAGAAAATATGTTATTGCTTCAAAATTTTCATCTTTAATTTCAAGGATTATCTGGGATTTTTATTTAAGTTTTATTTGTTCGAAAAGTTAGTTACTAGAAGACTTTTACTGTTCTTAAAGAGTAAGGAAATGCAATAACTTTAATTAAGAAAGTGTGATCCTTTGGGGACTAATCTCATTTCTTCTAATGTAGTAATTTTCTGTAATTTACCAACGCAATTATAGCAATTCTAATGAAATGATTATGTTTAAATTCTACTTTAAACTTAAGGAAAAAATATATTTAAATTCATATTTAATATCAAAGATATCTTTCGATTAAATATTCATATTCATTCAGATAAATCCGACATTCGAAAGCTTTTCATCAGCTTTTCTACAAATATATTAAAAGCTAAAACATTTTTTAAACTTTAAACTTAATTTTTAAATGTTTTTGAAGAAGTTGAGGTTTTTTAAATTTAACTTTTCCTCAAGACACTAGAAAAGTTGAATACAAAATCCAACGTATCCAAATTCTATACTCTCTTGTGAGCTATACTATTCAAGAAATTACTCAAAATTAAGGGGTTTTTTATTCTTAATTTAAAGGGATAAAAAAGACACTCTATAGTTTAGATAAAGAATTAAATTTATAACATTTGAGCTATGTAACAAAGCTCATTCCTCACTAGAAAAAGAAAGATGGTGAAAGGTATTACCACAAATCCATCATCGTTTCACGTTACGTTGCGTGTTATTGCCGATGCTATCACTGAAATTCCATCACTAAGTGTACTAACGACTTACGATACAATTTTAAGATCAAAAAATATAATTCAAAACACATAATTTGACACGTTACGATCGAAATTTAATGTATTCTAATCATCCTCTAAAAATGTGATTACCTTCGAAGAGTATAATATTCTTTAATTTCCTAGAAGAAATATTAAGATAAAATGATTTCCTAAGAGCTATTTCCTTTAAAAAATTTACGAATCTAAAAGAAACTCTCTCTTAATTTATTAATTGTACGGGTTTTTAAAGGAATTTAAGTGGTTTTTTTTGTTGCCTACACAAAATACCTCAAGAGATCCTTCGAATGTCGTCCATAGTAACCCGTTACCACTCAAATTTTTCAAGTTTAATTCAGGTTATTTATACCGGTTGCTCGAGGATGAAGGTATTTCGTTAGGAATGTTTAAGTTTAGTTTAAATTAAATTATTCATTGATACTGCAGTTACATTGAATCGTTTCGAAGATTCAATGTAACTGCATCTCTGAATCCTTATCTCCTATCTTAAAACGGTGAATAACTTAGATTTATAAGAATATTTCATTACATAATAATCATAAATATAATTTATAACCTCAAAATGTTAATTAAACTGGATAAAGAATTTATAACGAACCAAAATTGCTTTCTCTACTGAAAATTAAAAAGTTAAGCTATCACTTGAGTTAATTTTCTAAAATTTTGACTTCTTCACATAAGTAAAATGAGAAAAAATTATCATATTTCTTTAACTTAAGTAGTTATTTTTCAAATTTAAAACATTATTTTTGATAAATTTCTCTTTAAAATTCATGAAATGGGTATGAAATGTGTGCAGCAACGAAGAGATGCCATCAGTAAAAAGCTATTGAAATGAGCGAAATGATATTTTTTTCTTTTGTTTTTTTGTAATATAAAACTAACTAACTTAAGCATAATTAACTGTTTAATAATAAATTTAAATTTAAAAGAGAAATAATTGATAAATTTCTCTTTAAAATTCACAAAAACCATGCGAAAATGTTCTCCAACAAGGAAGAGGTGTGCCATCACAAAAAAGCTCTTTAGACAAGCGAAACAATACTTTTCAAACGTTAAAATTAGCATAAGTAATTAGTCTTAAGTTTAAAATCGAAGTTTTAAATATTATTCTTTAGAAATTTCAATTTAAAATTCATTTAAAATATACATATATTTAACGTAAGAAAACACTTCATACGAGTGAAATGATGTGTTTCAATTATTTCAGCATAAGTAATTGATCTCATACGAAATAAAAAAAACTTAAAAATTATATTATTTACAAAATAAATTTCACGATTTCTTCATGAGTTTTCAAGAAATCTTCATGTTTCATTACAGGATTTATAGATATAAGAACTGAAAATCAATAGAGAAAATAAATCCAGTAAGAACAAATCTTAAAATAATTTTTTTTTTTCAAGAAAATAAAAATAGTTTTATAAGATTTTTATATATAAAAAAATATATAAGTAAAAAATAAGAACTTTCTAACGGAAAATATTAGCTGAGATCGGCAGAAAATAACGCAATAAATTTATCAAGATAAGGGATACAGAGCAGGCTTCTTAAAGGATATAATTGATCCTATTAACGTTAGGAAGATTGTCACGAAAGATAAATCATCAATGAAGAGGGAGAGAAAGAGTGAGAGCGCGTGGCCATTATAAATCGTAAACACTGTAACCACGGGCCACTAATGAAATTTGTATAGAGTTTACAAATTAACGTTACGCAATGATCATCTAAAGTAAAATTTATTTAAGTTAGGCGATTTTCAATCGATTATGATCTTCTAATGAATAAAAGGAATAAAAACAATGTAAAAATTAAGTTAATTTTTGCAGTTTCTTAATTAAGAGTGAGTTCTGTACGATGTAGCAGAAAGAGCAAGTTAGGCGATTTACATCTGAATCCATCTTAAAAATATAAAAAGAAATTATTAAATTTATTCATTTTTTAAACTTTATTCCCGTATTTTAAGCTTATAACTATTTATGAAGCGCTTGGCCATGTGTCTTTTACGTTAACCTTGCATAGCGCCCTCTTAATAAAACAAGAAATATAAAATTTATTTAATTTTTAGTTCGTAAGGGGGCGCTTTATAATACCATTATTGCAGAGCACGAAGCAGATAGTTTATACATAATTAAAATTTAAAAAATGTAAGAAAATAAAATATATTAAAATAAATTAAAAAGTTGTTAATTTTCCGATATTTTTAACCCCTTTTTTTAAAAAAAAAATAATTATATATTTATGATATTTTTCAACATTTGGCAACAATGCTATCGTATTCAATTCAAAGTTCATTAATTAAATTTACTTTTAATTTTATAAAATATCTGAAATATTAAAACCAAAGCATTAAAATTAGTCTTATTTATTTGTTTATAATATTAAAAATGACAAAAATACAAAAGATTTTATATATTATATATATAAATTTTTTTTAATTTATAAGTTTCATAAAGAGGGCGCTACGTGATACGAACATAGAAACCAATGTTTGCTCTACGAATTATTTATATTTCCAATGTGTTTAAATATGTTTCTCGATACCGACTAGAAAACCTAAAGTGTTAAAATCACTATGGTTCCTTTAGGCCATACGTATCGATTACTCTTCACGCACGATGAAGTTGACGCGATGTCGACACTCTGCAGCACTTCCCGGCGTGCTTTACGCGGGGTCACGAGACTCTAAAAGTATGAGAACGTCGCCATTAGTATGTAGGCACCGAACTTGTATTTATGTCGTACATACCAAGAGTTGTTTCTTGGTTCGAGAAGGTTCACGAAATGATGAGTTCTCGTCACGAATTTCCCGGGCATGTCAATTTAATGTTCAAATATTTTGATTTACACGGTCCAAATTCGAAATTTTCGAGTTGAATAATTTTGCCGCTGAATTCGCTCAATTTTCGCGCGTTATATTACGGTTTTCCCTACACAAAAACGAATTTTTTTGCATAAAAAATGTTGCGACAATTGAATTTTTACATAAAATTGCATTTTTTAATGCAAATTTATAAATTTTTATGCCGGAAAAGTTACATTTATTAAAAATTATACAAGGAAAACGCTTAGATTGAATAAAATATCGTGTTAAAATGTTAATTTTTTTTTTTTGAAATTTCACACGTGGTGTGAGTTCGAAAAAGTACACAACCGCCATAAAAATACATAGATTAAAAATAATATTTACCAAAATGACGGCAAGAGGGGATATTTTTAAAAATTCCGAAAAAAAATCCCGTGATTAAAATTATGATGTAGACAGGAAAAAAATTACTCACGGGGGTTGCTTTAATTTCGAAATTTTTATATAAAGTTAATATTTTATTTGTGTTTCGATATCGCAAAACTTGTTGCGAGTTGTTCGAACGTGCAACAAGTCTCTCTCGCGCTCTCTCCACTTACCTCGAGTGCACTGTATGCACCTTCGATTTGTGTTTATCTTATCCCGTGAAGGGTCTTCTGTTAAACCATAGTTTCTACATCCCAGTGTAACATACACAAAGCACTGTTTGGTGGTGGGACGATGATGACGATTGTCAAACGTTGAGTTAAAACGAGTGATTACGACTAAAGTCGAATAGTCATAAGGTAACCGAGGATAGAACACTGACAAACGTTTGCAACCAACGTTTGCTGGGTACGCAATAACAGCGCCACCGTTCGTCAAGGTGAACAGGATCGAACCAAACTGTTAACAGGGAGGTACGATGGATGCGTTTGTAGAGACAGACAGGTAGGTTACCTGTTCCATCCAACCGTACGTTTCTTGTTTATAATTAAACTTTACTGAACATCGCTGGATTTAACTGTAAATAAAATTGAAATTTATATATATATATAATGTTTCTTTATTATATTTTTTATGGTGTTGAAATTCTAAATTGTTTTTTTATATTAATTTGCATTATTTATGCTGTATTTTTTTATGGGAGGAGATGAAATTCGGTTACTTTTAAGTAATTTTTATGTAGAATATTTATTTTGCTTGAAGGTTAGACAAACAGATCGGTTATAGAATTTATAATTAAATGTATTAATTATCAAAAAATCGTTTTAAAATATGCAACGAAGATAAAGAAACATACATAAGATATTTGTACTGTATATGCTTTATGTATAATACAAACATTTACAAAGGCATAGTCTAGAATGGAAGAAAGCTCATGCCTCCTTTTGTTTAACTTCTTTTGATTTATGTCATTTTAGATCAGTCTGCAAAAAATTTACGCACAAACACTATTAATGATGATATTTTGATACGCCTTTATATATAAATACGTTCACATTCTCTCAAATATAAACATATTTATAAAGATAAGTATACTTACAGACAGCCTGACAGGCTTACAGAATGCAAGACTGATGCCATATAAACTACATAGAGAAACTAGTATATGATTCTGTATAGGAACATACATCAGTATATACCTACGTTATACGTTTAGCAGTATGTACTGTACTTGCTCCTATATACAAATATGTATTGATGTATGTACAGTACATGTAAACAGGTTTCTGTATAGTAATAATTTAATCATAAATTAACGTTAATTTATAAGTTTTGTATTTCAAAAAATCTTCCTATTTTATAAAAATAGTTATTAAGTAATTATGAATGGTGTCTATTTTTTTAATGTTGACGTAAAATACCTCTAAATTATCACAAAATAGCACATTTTAGACTGTTAACTAATTATAGAAAGAGATTTTAATTCCAAAAACACTGTTAAATGTATATAAAATAGTATATTTTGAATACAAATCCCTAATATACGTCTGAGAAGGTCTGTTTCTTCTAAACAGGTATAGACTTTTAGAGGTTTTCTAGAAAGTATAGATAATGTTAACCTTCTAAAAAACCCCTAAGTGTGTTTTAAGACGTTTAAGTTATCATAACTTTAAAAAAAAAGTCCCATTTAAAAGCTTACAAAACGAGATATTTTACATAAAAAATTACATATTAATTATTGCAAATTTATTTTCATGTATCCATATTCTTTATTAATATTTTTTTTCAATATTTTTGATAAAAAAAAAAACTTTATTAAGAAGCGCAAATTAATCTTTTAAGCACTTGCTCATTAACGTTAAGGATGTTTGTTATTCTGCTAAAAATGGATAGAGTGAAGAACGTGAGAGTTTGTAGGACGAAGATTAATTACTTTGAGCTTATTCAAATTTTGTCACTTTTACATTCTTATAATTTTCTCTCTTTCTAATTTTCTTCCTTGTCAAAAATTTCTTTACTTTTTCTTTTTTTAAAATTTATAAATAACATTTTTTTCCTGTTTTAATCTTAATTTTTAAAAAGTCATCCAAAATGACATACAAAATTCATTATTCGAATATTTAGGCAAAATAATTTTGGTTTTTCAATTAAGTTTTGTGCTTTTTGGAGCAATTATTCAAAAAAAAAAATATTGAAAAAATTCGAAATTTATCATTTAAATGTGTTTTTATTGTGTTTTCTCACATAATTTTCTTCGTTTAATAAATTATTAAAAATTAATTTAAAGTTTTTTCTGAAAGATTTTCAGTTTTTTGAGGAAGAAATTATCTGAAAAATTAATTAATAAAATTCGAGATTTAAATATTTTATGTTTAGGCAAAATATTTTTTATTTTCACTTGGTTTTTTGTGAAATAAAATCACAAATTTCTTTATAAAAGTAACAAAATTCACATACATTTTTTTGTATTTAAATAACAGAAAGTCGAATTCTCGCTTTATTTTATGTCGAATAAAATCATTAAGAGAGTTAATTTTTAGGATTTTTAAAATAATTTTGTTTTTTATTTTCGAAATTATTAATTCACTAAACTCAAAATTTTGCTTTTTCAATGTTCGAATTTAGAAGCGAAGCAATTTCACTTTTTCACTTTATTTTTCAGCATTATTTTTTTTTAAATAGTTTGCAATTTTAATTTGTTTATTTGTATTTGAAATATTGTTAAAAATTTGAAAATTTTCATTTTGAATGTAAGAAAAAAACATATATATTGTTTTTTTTTCTTCGCTTAATTCTTCCATAAAATTACATTTTTTAGAAGTAATTTTGAATTTTTTCTAAAAGAATTCTTAAAACAATTTTTGGAATATGTTAATAAATAAAATTCAAAATCTTTATTTTATTTATATAATAGAAAAATTTACATAATTTTCATTGCGAAAATATTAATATATAATCCCGATTTAACGTCATATTAGAATATGTTAAACTCGTGCGTTAAATGTGGGAAAAATGTAAACATAAGAACAATAACGCAAAATATAGAAGTTTTAGGTACGTTAAATCGAAGTCAGATAATGTATAAATAAATTACTACGCAAAATTTTTAAGTGAATATTATATAAATTTGATTGTTAAATTGAGTTGTATGTTAAATAATTGTTGTAGTTAAATAATTGAGTTAAATAATTGTGTTGTATAATCTGTTAAATAATAAGTTAAATAATTGGAGTTAAATAATTGAGTTGTATAATCTGTTAATCTAGAGAACGGAGTTAGATAGATGAAAATCGAAACCAGATATGGGATTGAAGTCCCAATTAACTATATATTAACTTCCTATATAGACAGGAAGTCATGTGATTTTAATTCAAAATTTTCTCGAGATAGATGACCGGCGTGACTCTGTTGTTATCAGGAGAAGTATGATTTACAGGGGCAAGATACTATTAAAATTGAGACCAAACATGAAAAGCTTAGGGAACCGGAGATCTCGATTAATTATATACAAACTTATGGTTCGAACCGGAAGTCACATGACTTTTTTAAAATAAAAATTTCATCCTGGCATTGTGAAAATAATTGTCTCGTATTTCAAAATAATAATTACTCGTTTATATATAAAACTATGTACTGAAAAATTGTATACTTGATTGAATTATTATAATATTAACTGCTAAACTGTTCTATAAAATAGAAATTATAATGCAAAAACTCGATTTTACGTCACTCGTTGATTATGTTCCTGCATTTTACGTCTTTTTTTATCCCTATGTGAAAATGTATATATTTATTTATTTATTAACTGATATAATTTCTACGATGCGCTAAATTCGGGGTCGATAAATCGAGATTGTATAATATAATTTATGTTAATTTCCTACTTAAACGTTGATGATAAATTATATACTGATAATGTTTTCTATATTAAGGTGCCTCCATTTAACGCCGCAAACTTAGCATTTTCTCGCATTTTGCGTTTTAGAATCCTTGCATATGCATTGTAAGTAGCTAATTTAAATTTAAATTTTAAAATAAATACGTTTTATTTTATGTTTTTAATGAAGATTAAAGAGATTTACGTAATACAGACAGACAGATGTTTATGAAATTTGTCATATATCTCATTAACTGTCTTATTTTGTGTTTCAAAAAAAATATGTCTCATTAAAGAAACTTATAGAATTTACTAAACAGAAATCGCTTCCATGTTTATTCAATATTTTATTTTATAATTTATTTTAATTTTAATAAATACATTTTAAAGTTTAAAATCTTTGTGAACTTCACACGTTTACAGAGAATTTTTAATAAAACTTTTTTATAACGCTACGTCCTCGTTATAACGCTGAGTTTGTTTTGTAAAATGACGCATACAACTTCTTTATAAGTCGTGGTTTTTTATTTAAAAACAACAATTTTTATAATTTAAATTATATATTAATGCAAATTAAGGAGAAAAAACCTTTATAAAAGTTATATATATTTTTTAAAAAGTTGCATTTTATTACGTTTTTTATATTATATTTTCTTGGGAAATTTACAATTTTTCCGCTTCGATCAATTGAATTTTTTTTTGTTTTTTAATCACGAGAATTGATTTTTTTAAACTTTTAATCATAAAAATCGAAATAAAATTGAATTTTTTAAATGTAAAATAGTTTTAAATTATTCATTAAAATACTTTTTAGTTGTAATAATTAATTATTTTTGGTTTATAAGGAATTTATGGTGGAGCCCCTTGTATAGATTGATACAAATGTACAGCGTATAAAAAATGCAGTAAAAATGAATATAAAAAATACAGATTATAAATTTTAAAAAATAATAAAATATTCTACAAAATTCACTAAGATTATTTAAAAATTTAGTAGAAAAAAAAGAGTAATAAAATGCAAAAACTAGAAAGCATTTAATAAAAACGCAACATATAAAATATGTAGTTGATAAAGTTAGAAAAATTACATAAATTTATGTATTAATTAAAGAATTATTGTAAATGAATTAAATTATACATAAAATAAACTATGATAATAAAATTAAACTTTAAATAAATTAAAAAGTAGCAGTAAAAAAAAAACACAAACATGTAAATTTAACAAAAACGCAACGATAAAATTCAATAAAATATAAGATTTTAATCGTTTATTACCTTTATTTATTTATATGTATCTTTTAAAATTTTACCGTTAATTTACTATATTTTAAATAATTAAATTTAAATTTTACTGTTTTTATTTTATCTATTTTTCAGAATAAGAAATAAAGGTTTTATCATTGTAAATACAGTCGATCCTTCCACAACGGTAACTTCTAAACAGCGACCATTTTTTTAAAACAGAAAATGTATACAAATAACCTTCGAACAACGGACATATTTTAATATTCTCATCAATGGCA